GGGTGGCGTCTTCGTTTGATCTTCTATATTAGCTTTTTGCTTGGGTGTTGAATATGAAGGTTTGGAACTCAAAAGGGTTTTGTAGGAACAGTGATTTTTGTAGTTCTAACTTTGTTTGTTTGTAATAATAAAATTAAGTGTTTTAATATAATGAATTAGACCCTCTTTTATTTTATTTTTTGATTTTGTTCCTATAGACAAGTGGACCGAGGAAAGGATTCGAAACCCCGACCTCTCATCCAAAGAAACCCCAACACCACTTAGCCTAATCTTTGGTGTTTCCACATTTTGATTTCTTTAATTTAAACTTAAAATGTTGTTTCACGAGTTGTCGGGACAAAGTTTCGATTTTTGTTTCAAGAAACGGTTGTTCGTTACAAGTGCAATTTGCAGTGTATCGAGTTAGTATTTAGTTGAAGAGTCTCGTACATGAATCCCTTAGTGCATTAACTCATTTTGGTTCGTGTATGGTCTGCTCACTAAGATTCAAGTATCACATTTATTTAGATAAGTGTATTATGATAGATTCGTATTGCGTTTTCCCTATAAGTATATATAAATACACACACATGTTCGTTGTTAGAGATTTTATATACATATTTTGCTACATGGTCGAATTTACAAAGTGTCGCATAATGATCATTAGATTCAGATGGTGAAGTTGCAGGTGACGAAGCCACGTAATTGACCTATGTATATAGTTTTTCATGTTAACTTTATGAAAAAAAAACGAACTTATTTTCCTTAAAATCGAGTACAGCTTTCAACATTTCTATTAATTCTTTCCTATATGTGCGTAATGTGCTAATATTTGCATCAATTCTTGACATTTGGCTAGTATTTTTTTTTTGTGATGCCAGCTGGATCCAATGTAGACAAGCAATATCTACGGGTAATTACGAATCTACATTTCCTAGTAGCCGAAGAACGAAACTTCTTAAATACAAGTTCCCCATTTTCATCCATTCCTCGTGCTCCGAGATCGAAATCAAAAGTCGTCCTCAATCGATCAGTGATGACTAGTCGTATGGCTGGTATTTTTTACAATACTTTGATATACCTTTGTTTCGCATGCATCTTTTACCCTTTCGTTTTATTTGAGTTACTGAAATTTTAGAAAAAAAAGGGGTTTCTGCAGAAGGAATCTCCGAGGAATATCCATGTAGTTTGAAGAGCCGCAAAAGAAAAACTAAGACGAAAAACGAGCAAAGTGATTATTCTGATGAGGTCACTATTCCTAGAAGAATTCATCTTCGCGGGCGAGCTGGGAGAGGAAGAAACAACTGTAATACAATCACCAAAGAACGAGGAAAGTTAGATTCTTCGACATTCTTTCACTACTTCATGTAGGTGAAAAATGAAACGATTAATTTCTTCATACGAAACCAGCTGAAAAAATATATGCATGTGGCACCCCTATGTTTTCTCTAATTATTATAAAATCCCCCCCCCCCCCCCCCCCGGCCCCCGCCGTTCGTTTTTTTAGCAAACTTATATCACGGGGAGGTTTTTAACAATTCGATATAATAGAAGGGTACCAAATGCAAAAAAAACTCTTGCTTTATGTGATGAGGATTAATTTTTGAGTTAATTCGGTGTAGGCATATATGGAGAGCCTTTCCCGAAGAGAAGATGAATTCGATTGCATATTTCGACCCATTGTGGTTTGAATTATATACGAACAAACATTACGGACCGAAGGTTGTGGATTGGATCAAGGCGAAGAGCGTATTTTCCAAAAAATACGTTTTTGTTCCTATAGTTATGTGGTATGCGGGTGGTCTTTTTTTTTTTTTTTTTTTTTTTTTTTTATTTTTTTAAAGTTGTTAAATTGCAAAAAGAACTTTTTATTGTTTTAAAATGTATCGTGTGTATTAATTACTATGTCGTCCTTTTTGGTAGGTCCCATTGGAGTCTATTGATCTTTTGCCACATGAGCGAAAGTCCGGATTCGAAAACTAATACTCCTTGCATGCTGCTGCTGGATTCATTGCATGCAATTGGTCCTACAAGGCTCGAGTCTATAGCAAGAAGGTATTGATAAATACTAAATAGTCTTAGGCCTCGTTTGGTTGGTAAGATATTAGCCATCATTAATTAAATGATAAATAACTTTTCGGGCTCTGATCTTGGTACGGTGGGTAATTGTGGTTTCGACCCGCTCTAGTCTAATTATTAATTACACAATTGGGTTCTCATAAGTTGTCTAATCTAGGCAAATCCTATCGTGGTTGCCAAACAAGGCCCTAGTTGTCGATATATGCGGTGCGCTTTTTTTTTTTTTTTTTTTTTTTTGTGATTTTTTTTGTTCTTGATACTGCAGGCTTCTCTTTGACATGCATGTATCGGAGGAAAGGCTGGAGAGTAAAGAACAACTTAAAAAAATGCGTTTCTTGATTCCCAATGTAGTAACTTTTATTTACGTCTCTTGTTTTTTTCGCATGTACATCGTATAATAAATGTATCAATTTAAAAACCAATTTCAGGTACCACAGCAGAAAAACGGGGACGAATGCGGATTTTACGTTCTTTACTACATAAAACTCTTCTTAGAGAGCGCTCCCGAAAATTTCAATATTTCCGAAGGCTACCCCTACTTTGTGAGTATTTTTTTATTTTTTTTTTTGTTTTTAAGTGCGCGTTATTACTGCACAATATTTTTCGATTACTCGTGATGGTTTATTTTCTTACACTAAAAGATGAAAAAGGAGTGGTTCACTGAAGAAGAAGTGGAGTCTTTCTGCAAAAATCTGGATACTTTACCCGTTGACTTAAACGACCTCGACGACGATTCTGCTTCAGTGGATTCTGGTGATTCTGTCGAATTGATCGAGAATTTTCGTTGATGGTAAATAATGTTGAAAAAAAGGGTTTACGAATGCAGATATTTATTTCTCGTATATGTAATTATTTTGTATTCGTGTACTCTTTCGTAGATACTAACGTTCGGTACGAAAACCGTACTTGCAACTTACTTTTGTCTTATGTTGTAGATCCTCTTGAAGAAGTGGTTGGTTAATATTTGATGTTGTTGGAATTTTATTGTGCAAAACATCTTAGTGAAATTGCTCAGTATAAAACCATAATTTTTTTTAATAAACTATTTGGTTCAATATCACAAATATCCAATAATACCATTATTGGGGGTGAATTTCTAATTATTTGTCTTCACATTTGATTATACTAAAATCTTAAATATCATTTCAATTTTACTAATACTGTTTTGATTACGCACGTGACAATCTTTTTTCCGATTTTGATCAAATGCAAAACACGGAAAATGTAGTCATTTTCAACTTGAATAATTTGGATTGGATATCAGAAGACAAAGTTTTGCATAAATACATTACAATTTGAATTTTGCATCAAAGTTGTGAGCAATGTTCATCAAATCATGCATATTTTTCCTCCTCCGATATCTATTTTTGTTGATTCAAGTTGTATTTGAAAGTTGACTCAAAGAAATACAAATTCCTTGTTTTGAGTTTTACCATATACATACTAAAAAAAATGGTCAAATCATATTTGAAGTCTTTTTTTTTTTTTTTGAGTAAAATCATATTTGAAATCAAAACGGTATATTTCAAACTGAAACGGCATTAATTACATCCCTTAATTATATTTACAAACTACATTTTCTTTTAATTATCTAGTAAGTATTTTTTTTTAATTATATTTTGGAAAAAAAAGCCAAAGCCAAAAAAATGTGTTGAATTTCAAATCCAATGAAATAAAAAAAAAGTGTGAGAAAGTAAATAGTTGAAATGACACAATTACCCTTTTAGGGGAGTGAGTGTAAAAAATATAAATGCGCACGCAGTCACACACACACACACACGCGCACTTTAAACTACCGCAGTCAATCTGTCAACACTGCTCTGAAAACTTTGTAACCCTAGTCCTTCTCTCTCTTCCTTCCACCCTCACTAATTATACTCCCGCCTTCTCCTTCCGCCGCCAACCGCCCGCCGCCGCCCTCCAGAACCACTTCATTCGTCAGCGCCTGAACTTCCATTCCCCTATCTCGCGTTAATTTATCTCCAATCCTTCATTTGTTGCCCTTTAAAATTACGAATTTTAATAGCTGCGTAAGCTGCTTGTTTATTCACAAGTATGGCTATGGGGGAGACTGATGGCGGCGGTGATCAATTCGATAATCAGAATGACGTTGTTGTTGATGGCCCTCCAAAGTCGCCCTGGAAGACTCCGGCCGCTGCTTCTCGTGTGGCGGCGGCGGCGGCCGCTGATTCGGAGTCCTGGCCCGCGCTTTCCGACGCGCAGCAGCGGGCGAAAAACAATGGGAGTGTTGAACCCATCCTCACCAAGTCTCCTCCGCCCGCTCAATCTGGGGATGATGGTTGTGGTGGTGCTCCTCCGACGGTGCAGCCGGTGGGTGATGGTTCTTTGTTAATTACTTTTTGGATTTTTTTATTTATGTTTGTTCCTTGTTTTATATATTTGTTACTTTGTCTATGAATGCAGCTGGTTTTTGTATTGAGATTCATTGCAATTGATTTATTTTTGCACACACTGCGTGTTAATTCATATGTGCGAATAAACACACATTTTATTAGGAATTAGTAGAAATGGTGGAAAAAGGGGATGAAAAAAAATGTTTTAAGATTAGAAATTATTTTCATGGGAAGATCTGAGTTTCGTTAAAGAACGAGTGGACAAAATGTATGATGTGAATTATTTTCATGTTTTGTTATATTTCTACAGACAGTTACAGTTGTTTCTTCCGGTATGTATTCACATATATAATCCAAACAATTCGAGTGTTGACAGTTAGCTCTGTTTGTGCATCTTTTATAATTAAAATCTGATTGTTGCTCGTATTTGTTCTTTGTAGATATATTTATCTCTCAATTCCACTATTTTGCCTATAGTTTTGAGTGCATATTTTTGCATAATATTTGGCAGAGATTTATGTTTCCTGAAGTGTTTCATTTTAATTGAAATTGCCCGCATATATTAGATATCTCCATGTCTGACAGTTTTTGCTGGTGTACCAGGCTACATTAGAGCAGCAGAAGTTCCATGGGCGTGGTAATATCAAATCTCCCCGTAAGCCCTATCCTATGCACCAGAATAAAATCGGCCCGAAGAATGTTCCAAATGGGGTAACTCCACTTCATGCGCCCTTTCCCCACCCTCCACCAGCAATTGCCCCACCTTTTCATGCTATGATGCCCATGCCTCCCATGGCTGCCCCTGGCTACATTTATCCGTTCCCTCCTGGACGGTTTGGCAGAATTGATAATCAATTGGTGAAACCTGGTAGTGATGCTCCTTCGCCACAACCTTTTGTTCCTCCAGCAAAAGCAGGCTTTCAGCCTTCACCTCGCCCTGACTCGAATGCTTATGATGCTGGAAGAAGGCCCAAGGTCATGGAACAAGGTGGTGAAACAAATCCTTCCTGGAATAATCAGTGGCCAGTTTCCACTAACCAGAACTTCCATTCTCAACAAACCGCTGGCCCAAGACCTTTCATAAGACCTCCGTTTTTGGGTCCAACAGGCTTCGTTGATGGACCAGGCTTCCCAGGTATATTCATTTTTACATATGAACTATGTTCCTTGCATTAATTTTTTTTCTGTGATTGACTTTTCACCTGTTTTCCCCTTTCCCATGGTTTTTATTTCTTCTTGAAATTTTTTTGTTCATTGCCTAACAAGGTCATCTGTTTATGTAGGTCCACCAGGAGCCATATACTACTTTCCTGCTGCTCCTTTAGGCTATCCCAGACCATATCCTCCATATTTGGTTCCATATCCTTTAAGCCCTGGAGTTCCTGTTCCATCTTCGCCGATCGTAGCCCTCAGAGCTAACGTTGTGAAGCAAATTGAATATTATTTCAGGTGAACTGTCCAGAAAGATCTCATGCCTGGCAATGTTTTAACCTTTTTTTTTCTGGATAATGGAATCCGAGATAAACCCCGCCCCCAAAAGAAAATAAGTGGTATCTATTAATCGTACCTAAGAAGTATAATGTAGCAGATATGGGAGCAGTTTATTTCTGTATTGTTAAGCTCTGATGTTAATCTGCCCATTTTAGTGTGAAGATTGTACCGTTCACCATTTCATCTGTTGGAGTCTAGTTATATAGTTCCATCTTAGAAAGATACATCTATGATTGTTTGCAGTGCTGAATAGGATATGTGCTGATTAAGTTAGAATGATTTACTTGTGAAGGCAATTTCTTGTTTGAAGTAAAATGATGACAACTAGGACATGCTTTTGTTTCTTATGGAACTGTCCTTAAGTGATAGAAGTTAGTTACTAAAGCAACTCGTTTTTCCAATTAAGATGACAACTAAGATTTTAGATGTTACTACTTTGGCAGTGACGAGAATCTGCAGAATGATCACTACTTGATTTCCTTAATGGATAACCAAGGATGGGTTCCAATATCAGTCATTGCTGCCTTTAAAAGGGTAATGTTTTAAGAGTTCCTTTGTTTTATTAATATGCTTCTAGGGGTTACTCGGAAAACTGTATACAACTTCCATCTTTTTTATTTCAGGTTCAACGGATGAATGCAGATATACCACTTATTCTGGATGCCTTGCAGGCTTCGGAGACAGTTGAAGTACAGGTTGAATAATATGTTTTTTTTGCATCCACAATTATGTTTTACGGTTCTTGATTGTGAAGCATGATTTCCCATGCATGCTCTTTGTTTCTAATTTTTCATCTCGTTCTCATAACGGCGTCCTTCTGATCTGGTTTGAATTTCAATCTTTGTAGGGTGAGAGAGTAAGGAGACGCAACGAGTGGTCAAAGTGGATTCCGGTTTCTGATATCAGTACTTCTTCTCTAGTACCAGATACTGTAAAGAACGATAATCTCAACAAAAATGAAAAGGACGTCCCTGAAGGAAAAGAAGAGCTCCCTTCACCAAATGGATTATCTGTGGATACCTTGGATTTGGGTGAAGATTCTGATAAAAGAACTATTAGTAACAATTCTGAGCAAGTCAGGGACAAGGTTCTTTGCAGTGGCGAAACACCAAAATTTGCTTCTAACAAAAGTAGTTCAAACAGGAGGATAAATTTCCAGCCTGTTGATAGGAAAAATAGTACTGAACCTTACAATGCCCCAAATTCCCCTGCTATCTCACAGGGACCTAATTTCGTGAAGTCAATTGTTGATAAAAAATATGGAAGCAAAAAGATTCAGTCGACATCAAATCGTAATGTGGATGACTCATACAGTGATTTTTCAAACACATTTATGCTTGACGAAGAGCTGGAACTGGAGCAGGGAACATCAAGGGATGCTCATCCTTCTAATGTAGAGAGGTAATCCCTGCTTTTGAAATGTTTGACTTGTCTTTCTCTTCGCTTGTTAAGATTGGTACCGATTGATTTCTCTGTCTTTCAGCATAGCTTTATTCATGTTGACTTCTTAACGAGAATAACTAGTCAATGACCAAAGGATAAATTCCGGGGTTGCTTGGCTCGCTTTGTAAATCATTGTATTTAATAATTTGGATCTCATGCCTTGTTTTAACAAAATGAACTATATTTCTTGTCTGTTGATCAGACAAAACATACGTTCTTCACATTTCCCAGCTCTTGTTTGTAATTGAAGTAAAAATGAAATACACAATGGAATCATTTCCTCTAATCGGACATTTTCCTCAAAGGTTATAATAAGGAAAGCTGTTGTTTTATTATTCCTTGTTGTCTCACCCCACCCCCCAAAATGCACTCAAAATGTGTATTGTAATATTATCATTGCACATCTTTTTCCATGCTCAAGGATTTGTTCTACTTGTCTTCTCAAATTAGGGTTGATGATGAAGACGATGAGATCATGGTAAATGATCAAGCAGTCGATAGGCTCGTAATTGTCACTCAGGTGAGTCCCTATCTGTTTTGGCTACAGGCAGAAAGTATTTCCTTTTCCTTCGATGCCTGAATGTCTTCATTTCTGAAGAACCAATCGGATATGAGCTTTTTTTTTCATTAGCTATCAAGTAGAAAATTTATAGTCATTTATATAAGAATCTGCATTTTATAGCCTTACAGTTATTTGTAGGTAATGCCCCTTAAAAGATTGTCCAGTTACTTTATCTATGTATATATGTTATCATTGGCTTGCAGTTATTTCATGCTCAATTTCAAATGGGCTACTGCTGTGAAGCATTTTGTTACAGCATAAAGTAGTTGGTTCCATCATAAACTACTTTACTAGATTTCTTTAATTTACATTTGCAAAACTTGGTACTGGTCCTGAATACTCTTAATTTTGCTTGGATAGCCATTAATTTTCACCGTAAAGGCTAAGCATGGATTCTATTCTAATCATTTATAAGAACTTAATCTAAAAAGATGTCTTTGTTTAGTTGCTGCTTTGGATTGATACTGATTTATCAACGTGACTATGATAAATTATTTGCTAACTAGAGGTGTGCTGCAGAATACCAGGACAGCTGATGGACATGGTGATGCATCCAAAGCCATATCCGGTGATCTCGCTTCTGCTATAAATGATGGCCTGTACTTCTATGAGAAGGTTATCACACTGTTTTCTGAATTTATATTGATTTGTGTCAAAGGCAAACACAAATTTTATCCGAACCGTTTCAATTTGCAGGAACTGAACTCAAAAAGATATCACAGAAGACGTAACAAGCCTACTAAAGGAATCAGAGACGAGAACTCCAAACATTCAGCTAATGATTCCTCCGTAATGAATTCGAAGGGTCTTGATCAATCTATTGGAGAAAGCAGCAAAGAAGGGCCTGGAAGTTCTACTTCTCAAAGGAAGCAGCATAAAAACATCTCGAAACCAAACTCCTTTCATAACCAGCGATTATTCCATGGAAGCTTTAGAGCTCATGGAAGTGGCCGTAATTCTCTTGGCGTAGTATCGGAAAGTCCACCTAGTGCTGCTGTTGGGTTTTTCTTTGGTTCTACACCTCCAGAGAGTCATAGGTGAGCTTCAAGTTTGTTACATTCCTAATGTCAGTTAAATTAGCGACAACTTTATGCTTATGGTTCATTGGTAATTTTAAGATTCTCAATTTGAATTTTGCAGTTTGAGGACCTCCATGTTGAGTTCTTCGCCTCGCAGCAATCTATTGGGAAGTAGCCCACCAGTTGGATCAGTGCCAAAGTCGTTTCCACCATTTCAACATCCAAGTCATAAACTTCTAGAGGAAAATGGTTTCAAACAGCAGATGTAAGCAGATTTATCAAGGCAGTTTTTAAGCCAAATATGGCAGCTCACATGTCGGAGATATATATGATGGTGTTTTAATTAGTAGCGCCTGCAACATTTCTGTAAGTATTTAATTGAATCATAAAGCTCTTCTCAGGTACAAGAAGTATCACAATCGATGCCTTAGCGAACGAAAGAAAATGGGCATTGGTTGCAGTGAGGTACTTTCTCGCTGACACAAGTACGGTTTTTTCATATTTCCTGCATGTTCTTAATATCTTGGCATGCGAACCTTTCTACTTGCAGGAGATGAATACGCTTTACAGGTTTTGGTCATTTTTCTTAAGGGACATGTTCGTCCCCTCCATGTATAACGAGTTCAAGAAGTATGCTTTAGAAGATGCTGCTGCTGGTTATAATTACGGGATGGAGTGCCTCTTCAGGTTTTATAGGTGAGATTGATGTGCCATCAGCTTGGTTTACTATTCATGAACACTTGTATATTATTTCGTTTTCGAAGTTTCATGAACAGCTTGATTTTCCCTTGCTCGTTTCGTTTCCTTGGACTGTTTATCAATTGTTTCTTGTTTGTTCTTCTTCAGTTATGGTTTGGAGAAGGAATTCAGAGGAGACCTCTATGAGGACTTTGAGCAGCTGACAGTTGACTTCTATCGAAGAGGAGACCTTTACGGCTTGGAGAAGTACTGGTAATTACTATATCCGTATTCTAACCTCTTCATTGATTTGTCTTCTTTTGTCACTAGCGAGGTATAAATGTGAATATTTATATTTCTTAATATTCTTTCGGTCGTTGACCGTTGTATTGTTGTTCTTACTTGTGGCAGGGCATTCCACCATTATCGTGGCAGTAAGGAACCACTAGAGAAACATCCAGAATTGGACAGATTGCTCAAAGAAGAATATCGAAATATGAAAGACTTCAAGCGTGCCAAAGCTAAGAATGCTACGGTCAAACATGCCAATCATTGAGCCATATCACGCTTGTGCTTGTTGTGTGGGGGTGGTCTTTTTTGGAAACTGACAATCTCAAAATTTTGTGGGCAAGAGAAATTTAACAGTTCTTTAGAGCAACTTGAGGAGGAGGATGATGATTTTTTGTAAATAGGTTGTCTGGACCGAGCAAGCAACTAGTCTCCGGACACACCAGATATGCTGTTCGACCTGGGAGAGGTTTGTACGGTCTCTCTAGTTTTCATTTTTCAGCTTGTCAAGTGGCTTTGCCGCGTGGGTTTATAACTTGTATATAATTAAAGAATTAAAAGCAAAAAAAAAAAAAAGAAAAAAAAAAAAAGAAAAAAAGAGAGAGAAGGCAATAGATAATAAAGACGTTGTAGTTGTATAATGTGGCATTTTATGGCGATTAAACTGTCAAGTTTTGAGAGGATAGTTTGCTTTGAACCAAGTATTTTGTCTGAACATGCACTAGTTTAGACCAAGCAGTATACTATAATTTACTTAACCTGTATACTATAATGCACACGTGGTAGCACGCATGATATATAGCATTTTTTATTATACTTTATTTTGAAGAAATAGTATATTTCAATTTTAAACTAATCATTGTTATAGAATGTTTTATTATAATTTATTTTATAAAAATAATGTCTTTCAAAATTTATACTAGCTAATGGGTGTTATTGGCTTAAGAAAGTAATTGACCTAATTGATTCTAAGTTTATTAAAACAATACCGCTACAATGTATTTTGTTTCGTCTAAATAAATGAAGATAACTCCCAAAACGAGGCCAAAATTGATATTTAGCCCGCTATAAAACACCACTTAAATTTAAATATACTAAATTTAAATATTATCACAACACAAGATTGAAAAGAAGCTCAAACATCTCCCATGAAGTAAAGGTATTTGACAACACTAGTTTTTATACTAAATTTGAAACGAGGTTCGGAGGGGGTTGATGCAGTTCCAGTTTAATTAGCAACACATGGAACAAGAGAGTTGAGAGTACATAACATAATGCACTCCCCCAACCAAGATCAGCATTATCATGTCTGTATATACACTATTTGCAGGTTCCGGCAATTTTTTTTCCGAGAAATCAAAAAACAAAAATTTCAACTCTCGACTATAACTCCACAAGCAAACAATCTCACCTTCGACTAACGATAACCAACAGGGAAATAACACATAACCATAACCAACAGGGAAATAACACATTTTCAATTTATATAACCCTGGCGAAGTAAAAAAAGTTTGATCTACAAATATTTTCCAGTCTTTACTTCAGGAATGGAGCGATTTTTTTTACAGGGGTCCAAAGCTCAAACATTACCACCAAATTCTTCAATACCAACAACAAAACGGTATTTACTTACCTGCGGCGAAGCGAACCATCTACAGCAAGATCTTCTGGCATAAACTTCCGATCTCACAACCAATCTCTACAAAAGGGCAGCCCCCCCCCCCCCCCCCCCCAAAAAAAAAGCGAAGTGCAAAAAAAATATTTTAAACTAGTTTTTAAAGGGCCGGGCCCAATATGGGGTGGGTTAGGGGGGAAGAAAAAAAAATGGGGGGGGGGCGCTCTTCCCCGACAAGGGGGAATCAAAAAACACTAAATTTTGGGGAAAGAACCCAAGGGAGGGTACCCCGGAAAAAATTTATTTTAAAGCAAAGTTTATATAAAACCAGACCCGACGGTGGGAAGCCCGATTAAAAAGAAGGTTTCTCCACCAGACATAATAAAATGAATGCTTCTATATTTTAAGGTGGAAACTTATTTGGCTTCAGAACTTATTTTCAGAATTTAAATTGCAAGTTATGATTGAATATAATCTGATCCAAGTAAGTGAAATAAAATGTTTGCTAAACTGATTTGTTTTAGCGGAAAAAAAAAGAAAAGAAAATGTTTAATGATAATGGACAGACAAAATGAGGCAACAATGTGGCAGCAGCACTGATATAAGATGAGCTGTCCTGCACTAAGAGTTCCTGCAATAGAGTTGTTGCAAGTCCAAATTACGATACATGTTAGTCAACAATCACGCCACTGGGAAGGCTCATCTGTGCAGTCATATATTCAAAAAAAAAAAAAAAAAACTGACTCAACCTAGCAAAGACAATTATTGAGGAAACCGAGAAAAGATGGAGCTGATGCAGTAAAGAATAAGACGATAGAGCTAAATATTACATTAAAGGAATATCCAGATAGTGAAAACAGAAGATCATCAAGTGAAAGTTAAAGTTGAAAGTAGATAAGTATACTTAATTGACACGGTTTTGAATCCTGTAGAAACAAGGGTCGTAAACATAGCCAGTAGTTCCCAATACTTTCAAAAAGTTGTTATTGGATTGAAGTAAAACATCATTTTAGAAAATATCCGACAGACTTGAGACAATTTACTAGAAAAGCAAAACATTTTAGATTCTAGTCTTTTGGCAAATAGTAACTTTTGCTACAATGAAAGACTTCATTTGCATGACTGCTCGAACTTCAGAAGAATCACCAGAGTCCAAAACTAAAGTTTTGATGCATTTATGAAGAATCTGCACAGTGAATACATAAAATCATAAAAAGAATAATTTGGAAAGCAAAACTAAGTTTCAATCATAAGAAACAAATATGCAGCAGCTGAAGTTCATTATTAAAAAGTTCAACCAAAACACTGAAAATTGAAATCCTCGTGTTTTCCACCAAAGCAAATAGGTTTTATGATATAAAACAGAGTAAATATGTAAATCAGAAAACAGAAATATATCAGCTTAATAAATGTGGAATATGAAAAGAGATGATGTATTACAAACTATATAGAGATGTATGAGACAAACTAAGATCATACAGATGAAAAAACAAGTATGGCTTATTGCCATCAGCACAAAACATCCACTCAACATTGCTTCAGCAAAAATATATTACTGTGTTATTCCGGGAAAGATAACTCAAGGCTTCAAGGTTCATCTCTCAATTACCCTATTTATTCGCCATATGTTGGTTCTATTATTGGCATTTGGTATGATTCTTGGTAGGAGGTGTCCATAGTACTCAGATGATTTTCTTTGCCATTACACAAGGGCCCATACCTATTTCGTATTTTCGATAGGACATGAACCCCTTAGAACTTTCATTTCAGTCATATTCTACTTCTACATGACAACAGTGTAGATGAATATCAAGATGTGTTTAGTCCTCCTGATTCATCTCTTTCTTCTCTAATCCATAGGATTTGGGTTCTGGTAGTAATTAAAAATCACCCCCATTATATCCCGCTAATAGTCATATATTTCAGCCACAGGGTGTAATAATGATCCTAAAATGTGGATTAGGTAACAGTTTCTCTATACATTATTTGTGCAGCAATCGAAATATTTGAGAGCATCACATGTTAGTTCAGTTGTAACACGCACCTACCTCGGCTTACCTAGTGACCATGACCCATGTAGGGCGCACCACCCTGATGTGGCCTAACGCCACCCTGACCCATCTGCTGCTGGCCACCGTAACCTCCCTGCATCCCAGGTTGACCTCCATAGCCCCCAGCACCGACTTGACCTCCATAGCCTGCATTATTCATCATTGGCGGTACTCCTTGTTGATTAACACCTGCTCCAATCCCTCCAAGCAAATTGCCAATACCCAAGCCAGCTCCCTGAGTGGCCAATATAGCTGCCACAGCCTGTCCTATAGCCGCCGGAGCAACTGCTGGATTGAAACCCATCTGAGGAACAGCCGGTCCTGCACTCGGTGCCATTAAGTGTCCACCTGTGTGCCCAGCACCACTGCTTCCAGCGTACCTACCTTTCTTAGCTGGTGGATAATACCCTTGGTGTCCCTGGTGATGATGCTGTTGCGGCTGCTGTTGCGACTGACCATGCTGCTGGTTGAAGTGACCCTTACTGTGTTTGGGCCCATCTACTGCCTTCTGGCAATGCAGAACCTGACTCTCGAAATTTTTATGCGGCTCCTCCAGTGCCTTCTTGGCACTCTCGACACTCCTATACACAAACAAACAGAAACCTCTAGGCTTCCCAGTCTGTTTATCCAACCCCAAAGGCCCTTCCTCAATCTCTCCAAATTTGGAGAAGAACTCCCAAAGTTTCTTCGGATCGATATCGGCCGACACATTGCTTACATAGATCTTCCTCTGAGTGTACTCTGATGTATGTGGTGTTGAAACAGTGGCCACAGTAGCTTGGGCAGGACTCTGAACTGGGCCGGCAGATGCCAGCTGGCATGAAGCCATCCGACCTTCAATCAACTTCTGAGGCTGCTTCAGTGCGCGGCGGGCCCCATGCCGATGCTTGAACAGAATGAAACCATAACCCTTTGATTTCCCAGAATTCTTGTCCCTGACGACCTTACAATCCTCAATCTCTCCGTACTTCGCGAACACGGAGGTAATCGTCTCGGCATTCGCCTCCCACCCGAGGCCGTGAACAAATATCTTGCAATGCGCAGGGTCCGAATCGGCCAATTTGTGCACGCTCTCAACTACATCAGGGTGTTTGGCGACCGCCTCTTTAATCAGAAGAGTCAGCTGGTCTTTAGAGAAGGGTTCCAGGAGCTTCTCCACCGGCTCCTCCTCCAATCCATCTTCCTCTTCCTCATTCTGTCCTTCAGCTTCACCGCCATTTTCAGAAGCAGCATTTTCGGAGGAAGGCTTCTCGCCAATTTCACTCTCTTGTTCGTTCTTCTCCAATTCAGCAACGACAGCATCGCCTTTATGCTCCTCAATTTCGTCCGGCTTCTCCTCTTCTCCCTCTACCTCTGGCTGTTCTACACCTTCAACCACTGCTGCTTCAGCGATTCCTTGGCCTTGTTCAAGGGTTTCCTCGGTTGGGGGTTGTTCGGGTTCGATTTTCGGGTCAGGATGAGTAGATTTCACGGGTTCGGGTCCGGGTCCAGGTTCCTGAGGAGCTTCTGCATCGACAGATTTTCGCTTTCTAGCCATGGAAATTGGGAGAAGATGTGACGATTTGGGGATTAGGGTTTTGTTTGGAGAAGAAATGATGATGATGATGATATTTTTTCAAGGGGAAAAAACAAACGGACGAGGTCTTTTATATGCAATTGATAAAAGTCGCTACTATCTCAATAGCGCTTTTACCTATTATATTAGAGGAGTATTTTCGTAATTCAAGCATACTCCCAAGGTGATATTTGTAATTTACCAAATAACAGGGACATATATGTAATTTCACGAAGACTGGTCGAATTCACAAACGAAAAGAAGAAAAACTCTGCTTCCGTTCTCACAGTAGCTGTCGATTCCAGAAACCCTAACATTTCCCCGTCGATCAGCCAAAACACCAGGTAATCGGAAAATCTCGATTTCTTTGTTTTCTTGTTGAAGAATGTGTTAATTTATCGCATAAATTGCCGATTCAATCTAAAGAAAAAACGGAATAGATAATCACGCAATGCTATCTGAGCTCGGAAAATCTTCTTTTCGTTTGTGGTGGTTCTGTATTAATCGCCGATGCACTGCCGATTAACCGTTTGAGGAATGGGATTTTTTTACCGAATTTTGCAAACACTTGTTTTTAGTTGCTATAGTTTTGATGTATTCTCTTCTAATTGGTTGTTGGAGTGTGTTCATATGTTGAGGATTCTTTTTGTTGCAGAGTTTTAATAAAAAAAAAATCGGAGAATCGAAAATGTTGAAAGGGAGGAAACCTGTGGGAAGAGAGACTATGGCTGCCCACTATGCGTTCGGCCCGCTCGAGGATGACATCATCATAAAGCACAGGCTTTTGACTCGCACAACAACAACGAGAGGCGAACCGCCGTTGAAGAAGCTTCAAAAGAAGTTCACGGCCTTTGCTACGGAAGTGGAAAAAGAAGCCGAAAACTATGGCGACTGTGAAAGGCTCGCCAAGTCTTTCTTGCAGGAGCTGAACACGTTCGAGATTCCACTGCTCAAGAGCAGAGCGGTTATAGATGCTAATGTTAGAGAGAAGGAGAATTTCAACGAGCTTAAATACGAGATAAATAGGCAGATTTCGCAGGCGCATGGCGATATAGAGGATCTGAAGAAACAGCTGGAGGAGAGCAAGATCGAGAGGCAGCATAAAGAAGAGTGTGAAGCTATTAGGAAGTTGATAGCTATGCAGCCACCGAGATCGGAAACGCAGAAAACCATCACGGATCTTGAAAAGGAGATTGCAATGCTGGAAGCTGAAAACACTGCTGGCTCGAGAACACTCGATCTCCGTAAAAAGCAGTTTGCACTTCTACTGCATGTGGTGCGTGCTGTAAATTTATTTTTCGTAATACTCGTGCTTTTATATCTTTAGCAAGCAGGATCACCGTTACATTGCATGAATTAGTGGAATCAAAGTTTGCTGCATGAGATACACTAGATAGTTACATATGTCCAATTTCTTGAAGCTAGATGTGCACGTGTTGGCTAATTATTGCGTCCGTAGAAGCCAATGGTTGCATTATGATTTACGGGATTTTTATTTTCGGCTGTCGTCTTGTACTTTAAAATCCTACGTTGAATGCCTGAGATAAGATAAATCGCATACTCAGTCTGTTTATGTTGATGTCTTTTGTTCCCATAAATACTATATACACATATATATGCATATGTTATACATTTTGCTGAGTTGTGCTTTTCTGCACTTGATTACAGGTGGATGAACTACAGAACACCATCGAGGAAGAACAGAGAAGTTTAATGGAAGAAATGAGAACAGCTGTCGATGAGCATAGGACTGGTTTGGAGGATGCTAATGGGGGTCCTGAAGCTATGGCCCTCGATTAACGGTAAACACCATCATACCTCTAACTTAGAAGTTAGAACGGATATTTTCATTTGATCTATATATAAGCTACTCTCGTGTTATTTTTCTTTCTTTTTTAACTGTTCTTTTCACTTTTGTAGTTACGGTAAAGAGAATGCAAAACGAACCGAGGTGCAGTATGTGTAATGTTTTTCTTCTGCATATTGTTGAAGTTTTCGACTAAGGCTGCGCGGCTCATAGGGTTGCTTGATGAGCTGGCACTAGTGTATGTTGTAACCAGATTGATTACGTTTAAGTATAATCTGAGCAGCAAATTTTCGATTTATGACTTGTTTGAAAATAGTTTATACATTAAATTTCCTTCTAGAAGTAATCGATAATCATCGTCGTAAAGATTTTCTTGATTACATTTATTTTTTCAGAAATGGAAAATAATTTTAAGCGTGCAGAATCGTGTTTTTGTTTTTAATAATTGTAGTTATAAATTATCTCGTTTATTAAATATCAATTAAAATAAAATTTGAAGATGTGTTCAGTGTTCACAGAAAGAAATAATAAAATTGATTACGATATAATAAACAAATTCATGGCATGCCATGGCATAACTATTGAATCTAATAAAATATTTTTAGTTAATTTCTTCATCAATAAGGAGAAATAACATTTTGTATTTATTTAATTATTTATATAGTTCTCATTTTAAGATGTTCCACACAAGAAAATTACAGACGCAATTAAAAAGAATTTATTATTTTATTTACCGATTATGTCGGGTCGTGTGCACGGCCATTGGTGTTGCGATTGCAGAGCTCCGGTTCACTTACAAGGCGAAGATCCAATCTGCCCAAACTGCAATAGTAGAATTTCCGTTCTACAGCTACAAGAAGGTACTATTCATTCGGGCGACGACACTGCTTCAGAAAACGGGCCTCCCTACAGCCCGGGCCCACTTCCCGGCTTTCTCGATGCATTTGGAAGGATTCTACAAATAGGGACCACTTTCGCTCATACAGTTAGGCCCATGATAATCCCACAACCGGGCCCACTTCCCGGCCCGTTCCACACGACTCCGAGCCATATGCCGTTTCACAGCCCATTCCCGCATTACGACCCGTTTCCGTACTACGACCCGTGTATTCAACCCGATTATTTTCGTCATCCTGATACGGAGCAATCGAGTGCGAGTGGTGAACAACTTTTGTCTACTCCTACTCCTGCTGCTCCTTCTGCTGTTCTGGATAGTTTGCGCGTTGTTAGAATTAACAAAAAGCGCGTAAATAGCGAAGCGCGGTGCCCAATTTGTCAGGAGAAATTCAAGTTGAGGGCTGAGGCGAGAAAGTTGCCGTGCAAACATCTTTACCATTCGGAATGCATCGGGCCTTGGCTTGCGGACCATAATTCGTGCCCCGTTTGCCGTTTTGAGTTGCCACGACGCGATTCCTAAATCAGGAACCAAACGGCTTGCGGTTGAGATAATTCTAATGTTGATCGGAAACATAGTCTCTCTCCCGCGCGCACACAATTTCTTTTTTAAATGAAATTAATAAATAAAAATTGGCATTATTTACAACTACAGGTGGAAATCGGAAGGATCAGATAGGGAATTAACACTTTCGAAAACAAATCAATTTTTTTTTTTTTAGGAATTGAAAATCTGAATCCTATTCCCTTCCAAAAAATCGGAAATCGGAATCTAAAATGTGTTCCAAAAAAACCGGAATCAGAACTCTCGGAATTTGGAATGAATTTTTTTCTTACAAAATCGAAAAAATTCGGCCCGAAATCGGCCGAATTTGGATCCAATTTCCACACGTGCTTACACACACAGTTACACTTACAAAGTCAATTATTTTCAGGCCAGTTTTCACAGATAGATAAACATATTATCATTGAAAAAAAAAACATAATTAAAAATGTCTATACATAATTTGATATATTTTCTCCGAAATCGGCATCTAACCTTGACGAGGGGTTATACATTGTTCGAATCTCTACGCCTACGCATGTCCGAAATTCTCGATTAGTTCGGTAAGAATAACAATCCCCGCACCTCCGATTACAAGTGAGAGAGTGAGTTTTCCTCCGGGAACCAGCAGGGGCACTTTCGTAATTTCGGACGGTTTCGAGTACCGATCTGACCACGACATTGCTGCAGGAAGAACTCCAAAAAGCACCAACACTATAATAGAAACCATGATCGAAAAATAACAACTATCAGTCAACAGTCAACACCTTAAATAATGTTATATCAAAATCTAAGGATAAGAAAAAATGCAACGAAAAATAGCGGGAAAATAAATATATAAATTATACCTCCGTATGTTCCGGCAAAATCCAATGCTTTAAAGAATATTTCTGGATCGAGCAAAGATAACACCAATGGTGGAAGTAGGGTTAGTACATACGGCAGAGGCATGTTCCGACCGCTCGGAAGTTTCAGCACTGCCGATTATATTTCAGTACATCATCAGAAATTATTACGAAATAATGTCGGTGAATAAATAATTAATGAAATTACGAACGTATATGCGGAAAAATAATTATTGGACTCGAGAAATAATATACTTACAGTCGGTAAGGAAATCGGAGAGACCTAGAACAAATCCGATATAAGACGTAGCAATTGCAAGAACTGAGAACACATCCACTATTGGCTGCCGGAAAAAAAAAATCAACATTTTGTCAATAAAATAAGCTTAATTTCGAATAAGCAAAACATTAAATGTTGTTTTAAAGAATTGATTTTCGAACCCCAATAACTCCGTTCGATGAACGCAATTGCTGTAGTGGATCGATAATCGCAGTCGAGCCAATTTCAGGAGTTGTAATAGTCCCGAGAATTACGGCATTCCATATTAAAAATAAAACGAGTGGAATAACTGTGCCAAGAACAATTGCGGTCCTAATAAAAAAAATACTCAAGATTTCATCAATCTCAAAATCGGGACTTTGTATACATATTATGGTGTATTCTATGCGACGAATTAACAAAATTTCATCACCTTACTTTAGATAAGTTGCCTTCAAGATTCGTACAAAGAACCGGCACTACGTTCTGCAATAATAAATTAGTGTAAATACGATATCATAAGTTTAAAAAATAATGCATAGAACGAATTAAATCGAGGATCGGTTTTACTTACATGATAGACAAAAGAAAGTGCGATAATAGGTATACTTCGAGGCGCAGCTTCTAAGTTGGTTCTCAAAAGAGCATCCCAGTGTAAATCTCCACTTGCAACTACCTACGAAAATAGATCGAGATTTTGTTCGTATAAAATTTGCTGCAAATTAAAGTGAATTAAGTTCGGGTGGAGAATTAATGAAAGTGACGAACGATATGAATTATACCACAAGAGCTGTGAATGTGACAATGATGCCGAGTACTAGACCACCGTTTACCGCTCCAATAATACGTTGGCTACAAATAAATTAAAAATTCTAGTTTCAGTTCGAATCATGTTTAAATAAATCAATTTAATTATATACGTAATAGTGGGATAGAAAATGAAAACGGACCTTCCAAAGTAGCAAAGACCTCCAAAGAGAAGTGAAAACAAAGTTGCGGTTTCCCATCTGCAATCATAATGCTGCCCGTCAACACCTAACAAACAATATGAAATTTGCCGATGATAATTGATAACCTCCACAAATTATTATTTAAAAAAAAAAGGAATTAAATATTTTTTAAGTAGATGATGGAGAAAAACTCGAGATCGTATCCATACGTGGGGATGCCGAGGAAGTTTGTCAAAATATCTGAAGAACGAGCCACGTAAGCAACGAGGAGGGCGTAGTGGATGAAAATGTACGACCAGCTGCACCAGAAATAAAGAAATATCGCAATCAGATTCAAGATTAAGTTTTAATTAAAGAAATAAAAATAAAAACGAGAGGGAGAAATGCAAGAAAAAAAAGAAACAGTTCAAATTAAAGATCCGACCAAGCAATTTGTACTCCAGGTGTTTCCGAGAGGTTCTCCTGGCCATTGACACCTGGATTTTCAACAACAAATACCACATGGATAAAACTTGTAATTTTCGTGTTTGCAGTGGTTAAAATTCAAATCGAAGTAGCACGAAACTTCAATAAATGAATTATAGCAATTTAATCAAGGATGTTATAGACTTTCCGAAGTCCAATAAAACAAATACATAATTTATACTCGTTTTTTTTTTTTACTTATTTGAGATATTAGCACACTAAT